TACTATTCTAAAATCTTTAAACATATAGAAAAACAAAGGTACAAAGTACAAGCTTTTGCCAATTACATATTTATTATTATAAGTGCTAGCTTAAAAATGTGAAAAATTGTTTTTGCTTCATCCCAATACGCATTTGTTTGCTAAATATAGTTCACTGGCACAAGAACCCAGAGGTATATTGCAGTTGGATGTAGCTTTGGTGGCAAAAGTGCATTCTAAATTTACGAATACTGTTCAATAATTTCCAGTTCAGTGCTTTATGCTCAAACTTTAAAAAAAAAACCTATCATTTTTCCTTACAAAAAGATTTTTAAAAATCTGATATGACACAGAACAAGTGTAATGTAAAATATAAAATGTGCCCTTTTGAGGCCTTGGAACATATCAATAATTTTTTTACTAATTATGTTACCATATAAATACTAAAAATCAAAGTAACTTAAAAAAAGGGCAAATATAAACCTATAAAATGCTATTCTCAGTGTTTTCAGAAGCAAATTTTCATCGGCCCAAACAAAATAAATCAACAAAGTTCTTCACAAATGTTCAAAGTTAGAAGTTACAGAATAAAGACACGTTGTGACTTGGTTATCTATCAAGTCCTATAAAAAGTCATCAGCAATTTAATCTGTGATCTGGCATTTCAAAACATAATTACTGCTGGCAATATAGCATGCCAAACAAGGTTATGAAAAGATCATAGAAAAATGAAATTCTATCATCAAGATACAGCTCTGCGAAGAAACTAAAAGAGGATGTGATAAATATTTTTCCTTCCACATTTAATTGAGGTATATTGTCTATGTTCATCCTATAATGAAATGTTCCTCATTCTTTCAAATCTATCTTGAGAAACCTATGGTCACTAATATTTTCTCTCTAAACCTTATACAGCTTTATACTTTAGTTCATAAGGAACAAAGAACCAGACATTTGCATTTCTAGTTCAATGAAACAAGTTTAACAAAAAGATTTTATTAGATCAATCATATTTTTTCATATGGTATTTTCCTCTTCAACCATAGGATGCTTTGGTCTTTCCTTTGAACTGTGTGGTTACTGCAATGCTTTTTATGAATCAAGTTTTGAAAATGTCATATGCTACCAATTATGACAGAATCTTGAAAACTTATACAGGGAACTAAAAGCAAAGATTTTTCTGAATTAATAAAATGATGCCTCATTACAATCAATACTTAAATACAGTAACTAGAGCTCCATTAACCAAATACTGCTGAAGAAAGGGGTTTTTAACGAATAAGAATTATTTGCAATTAGTCCATCAAAGCAGGATCCAGGTCAGTGCTAGCCTCTGTTCATGTGCCATAATTTCATATAGGAAAGAATTCAGAGTTCAGGATTCAAGGTTTCAAATACAGTAGGCCCTGACAATCCAAACAAGTCAGCAACTATGGTCCCCTTGCTTTTTGTTCTTGTTTCTACCACCCTTATTGGCTGCTAATGTAGAGTGCCCAGAAACATCTTTAGTGTTAGTGAAGGGAAATGTGCAACTCTCCCTCAATAATCACCTGGAGGCTAGGTATTATTAAAAAAAAATAAAAAGAACTGATAATGCTGGTTTACATCAAGAAAAAAGCCTCCCTTTCAGCACTAATAGAAGAGTTGAAAGCAATAGAGAGACAGAGAGATCTGGAAAACAAAACAAAACACGGGTCATCATTTTCTATGTTAGAAAAGAACAGTGATGGCTTTAGACATTTGTGGGTTTTTTTTTTACTCGTTCTAGATGAATTTATTCCCCCTCCAATGATTAATTTTGTTTAGTAGATATTCTCTTTAAAAATTTCTTAATTTACAAATGAAAATCAGTCCACCCTTAGTAAATTATTATTAATTTTGAGATCTGGGCATATATCTACTTTTAAATGTTTTAGCTTGATACAATTAGCATCACTGAATCTTACTTTATAATCATTATAAATTAAAAAGAACATAAGGCTAGAATTTTGAGTCTGATGTGTTCTCGGAATGATATAGGATATGAAGTGTTAAATGCTTAATTAGAAAAACAGCCTGGAATTCTGAAGCAAGGAATCATAGGATCATAAGAATTAGAGCTAGTTAGCAGGGACCTCAGGAGTCATTTACTCCAACCCCTCATTTTACAGATGAGGAAACTGTGATTCATACATGCATTAAGTTGCATAGCCAGGATCTGAAATTAGGTCTTCTGATTTCAAAGTAGTACTCTCAGTTCAAAAAGATGGAAGTAATTTTCTGATTCCAAAGCAAAATACTGACTCTACTTTGTAAAAGTATCATTTCACTTTTACCTAAGAACATGCACGTGTATGCAGGCATGCATACAAACATATATAGTTTTTCTGCTTGTGGAAAACTTTTTTCTTGTATAATTTGATTACATGTATAAAGTTCCTAAAGATACTTTTAATATGTCCTTACTGTGAAGATCCAAATCCCCCTTAGTGCTATTACCTTCTCTCTATTATTTATCTCAATTTTATTCTTCTATATATCTTGTTTGTACACAGCTGCCTACATATTTCCCTCATTAGACTGTTAGTTCTGTGAAAGCCAAGCATGCCTTTTACCCTTCTGTGTATACCCAGTGCCTAGAATATGGTAGGTACACTAAATAAATGCTTGTTGACTGACATTCCACAATGCCTTTTCCCGATTAACTTCATAAGCCTAGATGAATTCCTCAAATACTGCAGAATAGTGTACCCTAATTCATTAAAAAAAAATTAAGATAAAAAAATTAACAAATCAAGATAGAATATAATTTTGAACTGAAAAGAAACTTAGATATCATGTATTTAGTTCAGCTTTCCCTGTTTTATTCAATATTTTTAAAAGTTACGAACAGGCCAAATAAGTTAATAGCAGGCCTAAGTCAAGAACATATTTCATTTAACCTCTCTATGCCTCAGTTTCCTCACCTATAAAAGGAAGAGTTGAACTCAGTGTCCTCTAAGGCCTGTTCAGCTCTAAACACATGATTCTACGTCTCCTGATTATCTTTCTTTTGTACTTTCCACTAAATTGACTTTCTATGTAACTAAGTTAAATAAGCATTTACATCAAAGGTATAGAAATATTTAGAATTTTAGTAAATACTCAATTTGTAGATATAAATGTGAAGAAATAATTTTCTAAACTTATCTAAACAGACCAGCATTTTTAGTTTGCATCTACTTAGATGCAAATGGAAAACACGAAACTATTTGTCTAGTTTCATTAGACAGTCAAACCATGATCCTATGAATTCAGTCCATATAAGTGGCCAATATTATTCAATTTAAGTGAATATTTATAATTCCCTATTTCTCTTTATGATGCATATATATATATATCTTTGTTTATTGTGGATTATTATTAAAAACTTTAATAAATTTAATTTGATAAAGTAAGCATTTGTTACTGTGAACTTTTAAGTCTTAGGATAAACTTCTCTATAATCTATGATTCTGATAATCCTCTTTATATATATTTCTTTACCATCACTACAAAATATGTGAGGCCACTTGGCACAAAGAACAGAAAACTGGACTTGAAGCCAGGAACATCTGGATTCAAGTCCCACTTCTGGTTACGTTATTCTGGGCAAGTTACTTAACCTCCAGTACCCTATGCAACTTTCAAACTATAAGCTGGGGAGAAGGTATCGCCTTACATTGGTAGAAGGAATTTCCTCATCTGGAAGTACCCTTTATCAATGAAATCAAATGTTCAGTCTCTATCCCAATTATGAAATGTACTATGTTATACTATAATGAAATCATGTAATATAAAAATCTAATTTATTATTGGTCTAATCATTAGTCAAAATGGTCAAAAGACACGAACAGGCAGTTATCAGCTAAAGAAATTAAAGCTATCTATAGTCATATGAAAAAATGCTATAAATCATTATTGATTACAGAAATGTGAATTAAAAGAACTCTGAGGTACCACCTCACACCTATCAGAGTGACTAACATGACAGAAAATAAAAATGACAAATGTTGGGGATATGGGAAAATTGGGACACTAATGCACTATTGGTGGAGCTGTGAACAAATCCAGCCATTCTGGAGAGCAATTTGGAACTATACCCAAAAGGCTACAAAACTGTGCATACCCTTTGATCCAGGAATAACACTAGTAGGTCTGTATCCCAAAGAGATCAAAGAAAAGGAAAAAGGACCTATATGTATGAAAATATTTATAGCAATTCTTTTTGTGGTGACAAAGAATTGGAAATTGAGGGATGCCCATCAGTAGGGGAATGGCTGAACAAGTTGTAGTATATGATTTTGATAGAATACTCTTGTATTATAAGCAATGACAAGCAGGATGGTTTCAGGAAAAGCTAGGAGGACTTATATGAACTGATGCAAAATGGAGTGAGCAGAACCAGGAGAACATTGTATACAGTAACAGCAATGCTCTATGAGGATCAACTGTGGACAGCTTAGCTATTCTCAGCAATACAATAATCCAAGACAAACACTATCTGCCTCCAGAGAAAGAACTGATAGAGTCTGAATGCAGATCAAAGTATATTATTTTTTCACTTTCTGTATTTTTTTATGTTTTTTTTTCCTTTGGGTCTGTGTCTTCTTTCACAACATGACTAAGACGGTAATAGGTTTTGCATAATTGAACATGTATAACCTATACCAAATTGCTTACTGTCTTGAGGGGAGTGAGGGAAGGAGAGAGAAAATTTGGAACTCAAAATTTTTGAAAAGTGAATGTTAAAAATTGTCTTTATATGTAATTGGGGGAAAATTATTATTTAAAAAATTAAGATATGGATGGCATGCTCATCAAATCTGCAGGTGACACAAAGTTGGGAGGGATAGCTAACAGAGTGGACAACAGTCAGGATCCCATATAATGACAGACTAGCAATGGGCTGAATCTAATAAGATGGACATTGGAAGGTATTTTACTGGCTACAAAAATGTAAAGTTTTACAAATGGGTACAAACCTCCCCTCCCAACTTCACAAATACCTGATGAGACAGAAATAAAAAGACAAGTTTATCTGAAAAAGATCCACAAGTTTTCATGGGCTGCAAATACAACATGAGTCAACAGTGTGATGTGGCTGCCTAAAAAGCCTCAAGTGATCTTGGGCTGCATTAAGACAAGTATGGTTTCCAGAAATAAAGAGGTTATCGTCTCTCCGCATTAGCCCATTCTTGACCTCATCTGGAGCACTGTGTCCAGTTCCAGGCATCACTACTTGAGGACATCAATAAACTAGACAGCGTTCAGAGTGGGGCAATCAGGAAAATCAAGGACACTAAGTCTACGTAATATGAAGATTGACTGACGAAACAGAAGACGTTTAGCCCAGAAAATAGAAAACACTAGGGGAAGGGAGAAGTGTGTTCAAGTATCTGAAGGGCCATAATGTGAAAGATGGATTAGGCTTATTCTGTATGGCCCCATAGGACAGAACAAGAAGCAATGGACGAAAGTTGCAAAGAGCCAAACTTAGATTTGATGAAGGCACAGATTGAAATAATTATTTCAATGCCAGTAAGTGAATAACTATGAAAAATTGTTTTCTTATGACTAAACACTGGCATTATTTAGGAGACTCAAGGTATTCATGAATACAAAATGATAGTCAGCATTTGACAAATAACAAAAGACTATTTCTTTAACTTCTGAGCTCTTGATACTTTTAACAATCAATTTTAAAAGGTTACTGAAAAATATCTTGTCAGAAGGCCAAGAAAAATTCAAAGTGAGTATATAACCTTGCAAACATAAAAGAATGTTAACAATACACCTCATGGTTTTTCAAAACAGATCAAAAAGTATTCTTGGTATTTTGTTTTCTGAGGAAATTATGGTATTATGAATTTCATCCACCTCTTTAAGATTTAATTCTCAATATACAAACTATAGTAAATACAAAGGAACACACATTTCAGTAGAAAAACTGAATGAAAGAACAAAATGCTTGTAATGTCAATACAAACAATGCTGTATCTACTGAATCTAGACTATAAAAACATCACAAGTATCATAAAACAAATAGACTGTATGCACAGAAATTGAAATCCTGAAAGATTTTGGTCATTAAACTCCTTATGTTCATTTTTCAAAATGATCAGTAGACAAATACCACACCACAAAAACAAAATCATGCTTCAAATATTTTCCTCAGGGGTTATAAAACTAGTTTTGAATTTTCATATTGTAAAAATAGACTTGTCTTCTCCAAACGATCCTGCAGTCCAAGTCGATGAATCTGTGTGTTTTTCTTTCTTGTTACTTTCCTAAACAGCCAAAGTACCCCTACTATTTCTCAAATCAAATACTCGACAACATATGGAGTAAAAGAGGAATGACTACAAAGTATGGCACTCTGTATAAGTGTGTAGACCCAAAGGCAACCACACCAATGGCCACTATGAGTGGAAATTGTGCAGCAGTCTTCAACAGTTTACTGCAAAAAGAAAGAAACATAATTATACATTATGATGATTACAAACTTCAAGGAAGATTAGAATTCTGTAAGGCCAAGATCATACATGATTTTGAGGAAAAAAATTTATGCTGTTTTAAATGTAATATTTTGCTATCAGTGAAGCTTCCCTCATTTGCAGATTTTTTTTCTATATTGAAAGGTTAAAAATACTGATTTTGAAAATTACATTTTATAATCAGTTTTGTTTGGCTTTGTAAACTTTTACCACTAGAAAAGTACTAATTCTCTGAACATAGGAAATTTACAAAAGATACCACTAGTTACTTGTTACTATGATTTATGCCAAATTTCATTTTATATTCAACTTTACATATGACAATCATGATGAACAGTTGAAAAAATTATAAAAACACAAAGAACCTCAAGTAAAAAACACTTGGGGGAAGGAAGAATGACCAACTTGCCATAATGTATGTAGACAGTCAGTCAATAAGCATTATATAAACAATAATTATTATTTGTTTAAAATGTGCTAAGCACTGCGCTAAAACTGAGGATACATACATACAAAAGATAGGCAAAAAGAGTTCGTGCCCTGAAGAAGCTCAGATTTTACTGGGAGAGACACACACAAACTATGTACCAACAAGGCATATGAGGGGCTAATTGGAAGTAGCCACAGGGGGAAGTGGAAGGGAAACGAGTAGACTTCTTACAGAAAGATGGGAACCTAGCTGAGACCTGAAGGAAGCCCAGGAAGTCAGGCGGCAAGGTAAGAAGAGCGAGCATTCTGAGTATAAGGCACAACCAGCTAATATGCACAGAATCAATCAGGACAGAGTCCTGTGCAACGAACAGCAAGGAAGCCAGTATCACTGGATTGTAGAGCACCATATATGCAGAGCAGTAAAGTGTTAAAAGACTGGTAAGGTAGGAAGGAGTCAGATAATAAAGGGCTTTGAAAGGCAGTCATCTTTTAGCTTAGCTTATAGCTAAGTCTTTGCACACTGATATATTAATCTCACTTGCAAATGAAAAATAAATGTGGAGAGTAAGATCCAGAATATTTCAAATGCCAATTTTACTGTAAAGTTAAAGTGGGTAATTGTACTGACAGTAACAGGCACATAAAAATTTTTCACTTGGTGAAACCAGCAAGATAGGCTTCAGAAAGCTTAATTTTCTGCCAATCCTGACTCGATACTTATGACTTGTAAGCAATCCAGTGTGTGTAGGAATAACATGGTAATTAAGTGGCAAGTGTGATTGCATTATTGACTGCATATATATATATACATAACATAACAAATCAAAATATAAGTTTATCAGCACCGTAAGTTTATAAGGATGCATAAAATGTTTCAATATTTACTCATGCTCAAATATAATGAACGCTTTCAGGAGTTTGAATTCCTAAAACATGGCTTTAGTTTCACTCTGTATATGTGCAACATTAAAATATGGGCATGAAAATGCATATTTCAGTGTCACTTGGTTATAAAATTACTAGGATAACAGATTTAGAGTTGCAAGGAGCCTTAGAGAGTCCAACTTCCTCCTTTTATAGTTGAGGAAACTGAAGCCAAGAAAGTTTGACTTGCCCAAGGTCACAAGGCAGCAGAATCATGTTTTGAAAACAGGCTCTCTCTTTCCAAATCCAGAGTTTTTACCACTGTACTACTCTTTACTCAGGTTACTATTTTATACAATTAAAAAATAGTCAAAGTTAACTGAGAAGGAAAGAATATTATGATTTTGTACAAATTATGATTACAAATTATATTTCTATGAATATACTAATTTTGGAGGATAAAAATATTCTGAAATTGATTAGTAAATGTAGTAACATAAGGTTTTATTTTTAAAATACAAAAATGTATACATTCTGAAAATTAAAGACTCCAAATATTAAAACACACTGACTTTGAAAAATATTACTTTAATCATAACAAATATCATATACAAACATATATAGCATATAATATAAATAATATATAACTACATATCAATAAATAAACTTTAATTATACTTAATATTGTATTTGTAAATTTTATTAGAAGTCTAACTAAAATTATTTATTTCACAATTGGGGCATTTTTAGAATTTTCTTGACATTCAAATTTTGAGTTGATGTCTTGTCCCTTAAAAAGGTTTCCATTATTTTATCTTCTGTCCTACAAAACTGGTCTCAAAATCCTTTTATTATACTTAATTATTACAAACAGATAAAACCAAGAACTTGTACACAGCTTAGAATAGAAACCAAAACATTTTAAAGAAAAACACAACTTTAAAATTGTTGGTATGTTAAAATTGGAAGGAACATAAAGCATGAAACAAAATAATTTTAAAAGGCAGGAGAAAAAACCCAGAAAAGAGGAAAAAGTGAGGAAGGGATTTGACTTGTTCTCACTGAGCAGGTTCGGAGAGTATAATTAAGTGAAGTGAACAACGAACAAATGAAAAAACATTAAGCACTTACTATGTGCAAAACGCTGAGGGTACAAATAAAAAATTAAGACACTCTTTGCGCTCAGGGTATCACATTCTAATGGTGGGTGAAAGTTACAGAGAAGCAGATTTTGGTTCAATGTAAAGGAAAAGCTTTCCAACAGAAAGTGGAATGGGCTACAGTTAACACCAGCTCCTAAGGTAATGAGTTCCCCATCACTTGTTGAGGATGTTAGAGAGAAGGGTCCCTGAGCTCCCTGTGAATTCTACTCCTTTTACCTTTGAAAATAACAGATTAGGGAGGCATGTCCCACGAAATCACAATAAAAAATAACTACAGGATTTGTAAAGGCAAAAATCAAAGCACGATATAAGAAATACTAAACATCTGATAAGGATTGGAAATGGAAAAAACTTAAAATTCTATAAGCAAATACAATTACAACAAATTAAAGAAAAAGGCAGTATGGTGTAATGAAAGAGCTGGTTCAAAATCTAGACTTTGACACATGTCAGCTTTGTGTCCCTGGGCAAATTACTTAATCTCTCAGTGCTCCAATAAACTCTCTAGGACCATAAATGGCAGAGAAGATGCTGACCTGTATTGGTCCATGGAGTTTCCTCACCTGAGAGCTCCCTACGCCAATGATATCACAGGTCCAGTCCTTATCCCTATACTCAAGGAAAACATCAGTAATTTTTTTTTTTTAGGCAATTGGCGTTAAGTGACTTACCCAGAGTCACACTGCTAGTAAGTGTCAAATGTTTGGTCTGAGGCTGGCATTCTTAGAGAATTACTGCATTCTAACTAAGCTCATAAGAGGATCTTAACAGACCAATATAGTAGCTGACACTTCACCTGCCTTAAATTCACCTAGCTAGGACACATTTGAGAACCAGGGATAAGGAATAAAAAGCTTTCTGAGCAGCCAAAAGGGATGCTACCAAGTCCTGGCACTTTACTCAAGTGTGAGTCCTTGAAGGGGGCTCTTTCAGTATCTGTCATTTCATTTTCAGTCAATTTTAATAATTGTGGTTGCCTCTTTCCCAAGCCTACATGTGCCAGAACCAGCCAATTAAAAGAGCAGAGAAAGGCTGGTATCAGAATGTATGACATTCATGACAGTGTGGTCAAGTTCAGAGTTTTGCATTTGGAGCCAGAGGCCCATGGTTTAAATCACCTATCACGGTGATTTAATCATGGATAATTCATTTAACCTTGCTGGGCTTCAATTTTCTTACCTCTAAAATAAGGGATACAAACTAGATAATCTATAAGCTTATGATCTTTCTACCCCTAGAGTAAGAGTTGTTCTAAGAATCAAAAGACATAAAATTCTTTGTAAAACATAAGCTGCTACATATCCTATTGATATTATTTTTGCTGATGTTAGGGATGGGAACTGGACCTGTGTTATCAGTGGTAGAGAGAACTCCTAGATGAGAACATTCTCTCTCAATACAGTCTGGCAACTTCTTTCTGACTACAAGTCTCAGCCTACAGCACTGAGACTTGCCCAATGTCAGAGATGGGACTTGAACGCAGGTCTTTCTATCTTTGAGGCCATCTCTCTATCCACTACACCATGAGCTCTTACATGAACTTGTATTTGCAAGTGACATGAAGCTGAGAATTACAGCAACATTTTTTAAAAATCACTGCATCTATATAAGTCCTGCATATACTACTTCAAGATCTTGAGGCATCTAGGTCATTTATATTATCAATTATTCCATCTTTTAGTTTATTCCAAACTATTATTTGTCTTCCCACAGACCCTATGGTACAGTGATAGGCAGAGTGCTAGACTCTGTCAGGAAGTCCTGGATTTAAATCCTGGCTCAGTCATCAGTTGTATGAGTCTGGGTAAGTCATGTAACCTTTTGGTCTTGGTTTCCCCATCTGTAAAATGAAGCCTAAATTACAGGGTAGTTGGGAGGCTCCAAAGAGATAATGTATGTAAAGTTCTTTGGAAAACAAAGTGCCATGTAGATGTTATTTATTATTATTTCTTCTCCCTACATATTAATTTTTTCTTATACAGTGAAGTCTTACCTATTTTGTATACTCAAGGAATTATTCTGAAAAACCAAGTTTTCTAGAATGCTGAAGACTTATCTCTTCAAACATGAAACCTTTGTGTATATATATATATATATATTTCTTACCATTTTAGATGAAAATAGCTCTAAAACATGTTGCACACTACCCAGCCTTCTTAACTATTCAGATGGGCTGTACAATATGGTTTAGTATTTTCTTAGGGACTCTTGGGTCATCATTATGACAGAAGCTTTGCCATTCCTTAATCCTGTTACCCTGGACAAGTCACTCTGAGGGCTTAGCATACTCATGTGAAAGATGAGAGCTGAACTAAATGATTTTTAAGGTCTAGTTCTAACATTCTGTGATTTTCCTGTGCTGCAAAAGTGAGACCCTTAGGGGCCTTTTGAGGTATATAGGCCTGATTGAGACCATACAAAATGGATCCAAACTGCTAAAATTTTTAATTCTTTTGTCTGATTTTTATGTATTTTTCATTTTTCTCTTTTATCAGCCTTAGCTGTTAGTAATAATAATAATAATAAAGGCTATTATTATTAGAGACTTCACAGTACAGTGGCCTGTGCTGTCTGTGTGACCCTAAGAAAAATCACTCAAATTCTCAGTGTTCTCCATAGGGGCCAACCTACATCAGTAGAGAGTTTCCTCACCCGGGAATTCTCTATGTTAATGAAATTCCAGGTGTAGTTCTTATCCCTATTCTTGTATAACACAATCCTCAAAAAACATACTCTCCTCCAGAAGTGTCAAACATAGGACCTCTAGGCAACGTATAGCCCATAACAGTTCCAAGTACAGCCAAAGGAAATATTTTTTAAAATATATAAAAATACAATTTAAAAATGGGTCTAATCTGGGGGGAGGTGGTACGCAGGGAGATTATTTTCCCTAAGAGTTATTCTTCTATGAACAACGTCCCTACCTCAGAAGAAAGGAAAACGGAGCTTTTGGGGGCAACTGGGACCAAGAAGGAGAGAGGGCATATATTCAAAGATGAGACTGGATGGCAAATGGAAAGGAAAATGATCAGGGGAAAGACAAGATGTAGGAGTGAATGTACTGGGATGCTGGGTATGGCTTGTTCCATTGCATCTTGAAGGTAGGCTATCAGTTGCATTGGGCCCAACAAACAAAATATCTGGTTCCTCTAAATGATCCAAAATCATTAGTACTAGCAAATAAAGATGAAAACTTATTAGTTTAAAAATATTTTGTAATAGTCTGTTCTCCCTACAAAAGATGTAGGTTAATTTAAAGTGATTACTTTAATTGTATACCAAAGATAAAATATTTGCCTAGAACACGAAAACAAAAACAAAACAGAAAAGGAAGGGTATAGGGAGAGCTGTTTAAAAAACCACAAAGCACAATGCTAATTTAATATGTAAATGTCTGAAGATACATACAAACTTAATAACAAAAAGGCTGTAAGTGGTTAGCAGTATAAATCTGCATATACACCACAGTTCCTATTCCAAGCTATTCCAACCTACTCAACCTTAGGAAAGAGAAAAGTAATCTAAAGTTATATATCAAATATGAAACGCATGCTGAAAACGAGGACTAAAAATCTATAAGGGAAATAAAAAAGATTAAAGTACTATACCTTGACTTTACTGAAACAATGTCAGAATTCCCAAGAATTCCCAGAGTTGGAACGAGTAAAAATGACAGATATTTACATGGATCAGGATTAAGTCTAATATAATATCTATATGGGGGAAAAGGGGAGAAAAATGTGGTTACATAGACATAGTTATCTCAAATTTGTATAAATCTGAATGACACCCACAAATCACGGGAGTAAGAAACAATGTAGTTTAAAGTGGGGATGATACTACCTATCTCAAAGTGTTGCTATGACAATACGACTCCATAAACTTTCGAGTGCTACAGAATGTGAATTGTTATTATCCTTGAATTATCACTGAGATACCTGTTCTCCAGGCCATATTTCATCCATAAGATATTGTATATGGAACTGAGGTATAAAGCAATACCAGGGAGAAAAAAATAAAAGATACTACAAAAATGTACTTAACTCCACACAACAGATATTTTCCTAAGAAGTCATTTATGAACCAAATTATTGTATACTAAATCATTTAAATGGCTTTGCAAGCCAAACCATCCAGAATTTGCAAGTCAGTCAAAAAACATTTATTAAGCATCTATTATGTTCCAGGCACTGTGTTAAACACTGCTGATACAAAAAGCAACAAAAGACAGTCTTTACCCCAAAGAGCTCAAATTTAATGGGGAAGACAACAAGCAAACAAATATGTAGAAACAAGCTATAAAAGGGATAAATATGACATAATTTAAAGAGGAAAGGAACTAGAATTAAAAGAGGTTGTGAAAGGCTTCCTATAGAAGATGTAATCTTAGTTAAAGGAAGCCAGGAAAATGAGGAGGCACAGCATTCCGGGCATGAGGATGGCCACAGAAAATGCTTGGAGCCAAGAGATGGAGGACTTGTTCATGAAACAGCTAGGCTATCAGTGTCACGGGATCAAAGTGTACTGGTGTTAGGAAGGAAGGTGTAAGAAGACTGGAAGGGTAGAAGGGTACTAGAGTAACAAAAGGTTTTAAGCAGCAAAGAGAAGATTTTGTATTTGATCCTGGGGATGACAGGGAGCCCCTGAAGTTTACTGAATTATGTGAGTGGCACGCTCAGACTCATGTTTTAGGAAAATCATTTTGGTGACTGAATGGAGGATGGACTGGAGTGAGGACAGATTTGAGGCAAGTAGACCCACCGGCAGGCTACTGTAATAGTCCAGAAGTGAGATGATGAAGATCTGCACCAGAGTGATGGCGGTGACAGAAAAGAGAAAAGGGAGATGTTGCAAAGGTGAAATTTGTCTTTTGGGGAATTTCTTTAATTTTGCTTAAAATAAGAACTATCTGATGTCTTGTAAAACTAAGATTAGTAGTTTCTTCAAATAAAATTGATCCAATACCAAAAGCCTGGACCTTAATACAATGAGGGATTAGGGAACTCCTTAAATGTATATAACTATTTCTCAAATCTATACTGAGCAGGAATACTCAGAGGTTTCACGTATTTGTCTCCTTTAAAAAAAGTTTCTTAAGTAACAAGCATCTTTCCCTTCCACCATATCTCTCCCTGAAGAAAAACAAAAGGAAAAACTCCTATAACAAATAAGCATTTTTTCAAAAACTCACGAAAATATAAATTCTAAAAACAAACTTCAGTAGCACTGCTGAATGCTTTGTATGATTTGTGACTTCAGTCAGGACAGAAAATGATAGTTTCTTAGTCATAAATTCTTTTTAGTCACTACAATCATTTTAGTTCAACTTAAGGAACTCCCTTCAAAGCTAAAGAAATCTATTTTTTATTTCTAAACTTTCCAAATGCAATTATTTTGCTATAATAAAGTATAACAGAAGTTCTACCTTTCTCTTTTTGTTAAACATTTACGGGAATTTATGTTTATAAGATAGAGAAAGAACTTTGGCAAATCTAAGTGGGTTCAATGTAAATTTTCCTAGTCAAAATTTTCATATACTGACTAGAAGATGTTTGGGTATCTCAAATCTTACTTAAGCTTTATTGATGGATAGTTTAGTTATGGACCAAAGCAAAGGCAGAATTATACCACAGTTTTTATACAACTCTAAACATTTAATTGTATCATTACCTGAGATTCTTTAGCCAATAAATTAAGGATGGCATACTGAGTAATACAACCCATATTACTAAGTTAACAATAGTAATATGCATCTTAAAATTATCTTCAGCATTATCAATGGCTAAACTTAAAGGAAGTACATCTGGTTTTGGAGGAAGGCTTTTCTGAGATCTTTTGTTCTCTTTTTTTTCAGCTGAAGAATTTGTACTGTTTTCATTTCTTTGAGAGATGTTTGGAATCTACAAAGAAAGCAAGAATATAAAAATATTAATTAGGATATTCCTTATCTTAAACAAAACCAGGTTTAAGATACTGTTTCATTTTAAATCAAACTCTTATTTAAAAAACAAATATGCATACAATACAATCTTCACAACTGAGGATTTGCTAGATAACAATATCTATCATCTTCCTATAAGCACAACTGGAAATAATTTCTGGATCTTCTGAATTAGCCACTCTAAATTTTACGGCTAATATATCCTCAAAAGATGATCCTCTTTCTAAAAATTTTTCTCCTTAATCCACAACAGACAAAAGACATTGACCCTTCCTCAATTTTTTATCCAAGATGAAGAACCACAATTTAAACCCTTTCAAATTTGTTTTCAAAAAGTAATTTAGTAGGGACAATGTTGGCTAGAGCAATTCATGGAATGACAAATGACTAATTTTACTGCAGTCAAGAAGAACTGGGCCTTGAAGGTGAGAGTATAAGTTTTCATGTAGTTTCCATATTTTCTTACAAATTAAGAAGTGAACAGCTGAGGCTTAAGGGGCTCAAAGGTTAAAATTACCTCCTGACTAGATGGAATACAAGTGAATAACAGTGGGTACCAGAGATAATAATCATAGAGTTCTGAGGGATAGCTAGAAGAAAATATGGATAAAGGACCTAGCAAGACATTACGAACATAGAAAATAGCTAATCATTTTAAATGGGGTAATCAAAATGATCTATGATTTTCATAAGGATTAAGTGATAAAGTCATTTCATCCTGAAATGATAAATGGCTAAAGACGATGAAAATATGTAGTATGTTTTACCAAAAAACCCAACTTACCATATCAGAGTTATTTTTCAATGTTGTTATGTTGGAGTACAATTTAATAATCTAGGAAAAGAAATGAATTTTTGTTTTCAAAATTGCTTTGCATCAAGAAATCTGAATGTCCTTGTAAGACTTTTAAATACACTTAATCCCTCTTTAAATGGAGACTAAAAAACCAGGCAGCAACAGGATTCTATTCCTTCCCAATTGATTCTGTTTCTTACTCCCCAGAGAAGCTATTCTAAATGTTCTCTCTCCTCTTCAAGCCTCCCACACCCCACCCCTTTCCCCTTTCTAAGTTGAGGACTTTGCCTTTTAACTTAGAAAACAGAAGTCATTCAGTGTGAGCTCCCCCTTCCTCCTTTCTCTTCACCCCCCAAATCCTGCCATCTACCACTCTCTCCTCTTTTCTTCCAGTGTCTGACAAAGAGGGGGTTCTTCTTCTTACTAAGTCCAATCACTTACCCATTACCTAGTATTTTCTCTATTGGTTGCATCCTCAACAGTGTTCTATTGAATTTTCAGTCTCTCACTCTCTACTCTTTCCTTCCCTATAATCTTCAAACATGCCTATGTCTCCTCTATCTTTAAAAAAAGCCTTCACTAAACTACTTTGAGCTATCTTCCTATCTCTCCCCTCATTTTCTCAGCTAAACTTCTTGAAAAAGCAATCTCCACTTGCTGTCCATACTCACCCTTTGCAATCTGGCTTTCCACCTCACTTTTCAACTAAAATTACTTTCTTCAAAGTCATCAAAGACCTATTAATTGACAATTCTAATGTATTTTTCTCAGTCCTCAATCTTCTCAACCCACTTGCTGGATTTCATCATATTCTCCCTTCTGGATGCTTTCAGGGTTTTCCTCACTCTACTTTCTCTGCTTCTCCTGCAACATATCTGACTACTTCTCAGTCTTCTTTGCTGGCTAAGCATTCGTAGAACACTCCCTAACTGTGAATGGCTACCTCTTTTTTCTCTACTGGTAACTTTATACATTCCATGTGTTTAATTATTATCTCCATGCACATGCTCTCAGATCTATGTATCTATCCCTGGTTTCTCCTTTCCGCTTCAGTCCTGCATCACCAAACACTTGCTGGATATTTGAAATTGGATGTCCCAGAGGTAGCTTAAACTCAACAGGTCCAAAATTGAATTTATTATCTTTCCCCCTCAACCTTCCTACTTCTAAACTTCCCTATTTCTGTTGAAGGGACTACTACCCTTCTAGTGTCCCACGTACATAACCTCAACATTATCTAAGATTCACATTCCCTCACCCCACATAGCCAGTCATTGCCAAGTCTCATTGTTTCTTGCCTCTTGCATCCAACCCCTTCTTAATACTTACACAATTACCATCTTAGACCAGGCCCTTATCAACTCTTTTTTTTTCTCCTCGAGGCAATTAGGGTTAAGTGCCTTATCAACTCTTCATTAGATAGCCTCCTGGTTTCCTTGCCACAAGGATATCACCATTTCAGTCCATCCTACACACTAATACACTCTAAGCATATATCTGACTGTGGGACTGGCCTACTCCAGAGGTGTCAAGCATCCTTGAGTGAGGCCTGAACCAGATTAAATCTAAATGGGAAATACTTAACAAAATAAATAAAAGTACAATAGAACATAATATTAATATGTGGTTTTCTAAGTCAATATGTAGCTGCAAGGATCATTATGTAGGGTTTAGCAGTCCCCTTTCTAATTGAGTTTGAAAGCACTGCACTACTCAATCAACTCAGCCTCTAGGATGAAATATAAAACTCTCTGTTGAACACTTAAATTCCTTCACAAGCTTATTCCAACCTATCTTTCCAATCTCAATGACAATTGCTTCTGGTCCCACACTCTCAATCTAGCCAAACTAGCCTCTGTTCTTCATAGATTGCACTCCATGTCCTCTGTGTGTGCCTTTGCACTGGCCAGACTCCATGCCACGAATATACATCCTATTCAACTTGTCCTCTCAGAATCCCTTTCTTCCTTCAAGATGCACTCAAGAACCATCTCTTGTATAAAGCCTTTCCTATTTCCCCCAATGTTCTCCTCCCAAATTACAAGGTATTTAATTACTTTATATTTATTCATACTTATTGTTTACATATGTGTGGTGTGTGCATACATGTGTGTGTATGTGTCTGTGTGTTTTCTTTGGGAAAGGTATTGTTGTGGTGATGAGATGCAGCAGTTATTAATATATAAGGAACGTACATAAGAAAAGTTGAGTGTTCATAACTCAGGGACTACCTCCAGACAGAACATAAATTCACTTCTTAATAACTTGGGAATTACTTAACACTAAGATGTAATATCCTTAGTTGATGGTTTGAACTATGGGGATGAATCTCTATTAGGGGTTCTTTTTTATGTCATATGCCCCTTTGGCAATCTAATAAAGCATATGGAACATCTATTGGAAATCTCTCTTCATTTGGACTACATGCTCAATATCCCATATAATAGTGGCAAATGCACATCTTCTTGTTTTATGTTTCACTTGATATTATTAACCAAAGAGCTCAAAATTATTTCCATTAAATCTATTTAGAAATCGAATATGATTTTGACTTATGCAAGGAAGACACCTTACTGAAGGACAATCTGTTGAAGGTTGTTGAAGGTATTTGCTTTTCCAAAACAAATACTTTTTTACGGTCAAGGATCACATAGGATTCTCTACACTTCTAAGTCAATTTTGTAACTGCAGACTATTGTCTCTCAAGTTTGAAGGAACTTACATACCTATCAAGATTGCTCTCAATGTCCATGTAAATTATCTTTATATTTTAAAAAAATACTTAATTGATGCCTTGTTTTTAACATATCATCTCCCAATCTACTCCACCTCCTCAAGTGAGCTCTCCCACTGTGACGAAGAAAAACAATTAAACAAAAATAAACCAATAGAACAACTGTGTCCAACAGCATAGGCAACATTCCATAGCTCTAGTCCTCTGCCTCTCTGAGAGGAGAGCTGTACTACCTGTTCTCCAGGACTAAGACTGATCACCACTAATCAGTTCAGTTGCCTTTTAGTGTTGTTTTCATTTACATTGTAGGAATCATTTTCTATCCTGTTCTCCTGGATCTACTTATTTTATTCTTCATTATATAAGTCTTGTCACTAAGATTTTGTAGAGGGAGATGAGGCATATGTTTTTCCAATCACCTTTTCTGGAAAAAGTAATAACATTATTTTTCCTAAGCATTGAGCATCATCTCCTCTTTGAGGTGCCTTGAGATGCAATACCCTCAAAATTGTGTTACTTCAGCATGGACCTCCTCTATACATATTTTTTCTATTTTAGCTTTCCCTGGCTTTGCTTTCTTTTGAGCTAACTCTCCTTCCTCATAAGGGTGGATTCTAAATGTGGTGTACCATAGTCATGGAAGGAGAATGGTTACAGAAATCTTAAAGATCTTTTCCTTTTCTGCTGTTTGCTGTCTTTCAAGTTTCATCCCTAAATGTTCTTGTGGTAAGGGCTTAGTTATGTTTCTTATCAAATGTCTTGTTAAAACAAAGAAGTTTTATGCCACAACACTGCTCATAATCCTCTGTCAATTTCCTTGTCTTTATCTTACAAATATGACTTGAATGTCCTGAGAAAATGGTAGGAGTCTATGCTATTCTATTTTTCAGTGTAAACAGGTTGTTTAAATAGACTACATTGAATTTGCCTCAATTACACACAATATCTTCTCATTTTTTTATTTAGTACTGACTAAATGATGTGAGAGTCATTTTCAAGTTACAAAATTTAAAGCGATCCAGGGGAAGACTCCTTGCAGGCTGAGTGGACACCCATCGGGAATTTATGGGAGGACATACACAAGAGTGATGAGAAAACATGGATGTAGAATGGTATTCTTGGAGGGAACATTCCCATTGTTGAGATCACAGATCCATCAGTATTAGTTTAGTATTAGTTTCCACAGCAAACCATTTATGCTAACTTGCTGCTATGGATAACAGCTATATCCAAAGTAAGTGGGGGGAGGGAAAGCCAAAAAACTGCTCAACAATGTTAAAAACATATCAAATAAAAAAAAGAAACAATGACTCCTCTGTTTCTCCAAAAAAGTAGCAGTTCATTAGTTTTCACTATCTTCCTGTTGCTATTGCCTTATTTTTTATCTACCCTCTCTATTCTGTATATAGACTAGCAAGTCAGAATGCCCTGGTAACCATTCTTGGTAAGTAATCTTCTTTATGTTCTGTAACTTGACAGTTTTGTGCTTTAGGTAATTTCTTTCATTATTTGATTTGTCATCAATTGGTTCTAAGTAGGTATCAAACATTCTCTCCCATATCATTTCAAAGCATGATTTTCTCTTCATAGCAACTGTTACAGAAAATCTAGTCCCTATCCTCACATCTCAATGTGGATTTTAACCTCTTCCATTTCCTTCTATCAAATGAGAAAATAGTTGCACGTGACACAGTGCCTGGCACATAGTAGGCTCTTAATAAATACTTGTTTCCTTCCCTTTTCCCTTTTTGGCCTCTAACCACCAAATCCTACTATGCTTAACTATTTGTAGATGCAGATTCCCATCTTACAGCTATATCAAACCAACATACACAAATGGTTATAATAGTAACAAAAATATTTAAAGCTGTCCACCAAAATAAATTGCAAACCCACCATTTTTACTTATGAATTTATAAACTCTTTTTGAAGATTCTGTATGGAATGATATCTGATACAGCGATGAGCACATTCTGGCATTCAGGTTAAAAAACTTTAAGATGATACCTTAAACACATAGTAAACATAGATGAGAAGTATTGAAAGTGCTCCACAAGTTGTCCAACCAATTATTAGCAGAAGCATGATCAGAAACGATAATCTTGTTGTTATCAACCTGGGGTCATTAGGGATTTCAGAAGGTCTAAAATAACAAGAATATAGCTTTTCAAATTCTTTAAAAAGCAGCTTAGATCCAGGAGAACAATTTATACTGTAATATCAATACTTCGATAATGAACAATTCTGAAAGATTTAAGAATGCTGATCAATGCATTATCCTAGATGAATGATGGTGAAGGATGCTATCCATCCTTTAACAGAGAGGTGACACACTAATATGCAGAATTAGACACATATTTTTGGACATATCCAATAGAGGAATTTGTTTGTTTGACTATGCTCATTTGCTTTAAGAGTTTTGTATTTCATTCCCTCTTTCCCAACCAGTGGGACGAAGAGGGAAGTGAGGAGGAAAAAAAATGTTATCATAATTGAAAAAAAAAAAATTAAGCAGTTAATATGGTTATATACTAGAAACAACATGATCTTAATGGTCTATGCACTTGGGAAAGGCAAGTTTAAGAAAATACCAAGTATTTACAATGGTTCTAGATGATGTTAATTGTTGGAATCTTAAAACTTTTAAGTATTTTAAGAATTATTTCAAGGAATTTTCAATTAATACAAGAGGTATCTTCAGAGTTTCACATTATAAGCAGATACAGAAACCAAAGTTAATATAGCTAATAAAGACTAAAGCGGTGAATTTATAAAACAGAGAAAGGCAATTAGCAATGAAACTGTAATTCTATTTATATGCCCGTTGTAAAGAATAATCATGTTAGCTTAAAGTGAGACCTCAGGGCCTACGGTCCCAAACACTTTTTGTGAGGAAGGGTTATTTTTCATTTCCCTGAAACCTTGTGGGAGAACCTGGAGATAATTGTTTTTAATGAAGTCAATGAACAGGGGATGATACTAAAAGTACAATATCTGAGCATGGTAATGGTAAAGGGGTTCTATAGCTAGGTTTATTCTAGTTCCTGTCAGAAATCCTAGTAAATGATGTTAGAGGGGTGCGATGATAGAAAATGGTATCAGAAAACAGTTTTGAGGTGTATAAGTACAACACTAGTTGGGAACCACTATGACTTTGAGTATACAAAAATACTGTGCGAGGACTGGGCCACCCACTGAAAGAAATGTAAGACAATCAAATTCAAACACGTGCACAGATTACAACATATTTTGATTTACTCACATTTGTTAAACAAATACAGAATACCTTAAAATTTTTAACTTTGATGATAAAAGTAAGAGTCATTAATTTGTAAATTATCTACAGAAACCAGTTAATGTTCAGGGAAATACACAAACTAATCTTTAAGGTTCTCTTTTAGGAATATAACTTAAGCTTATGAAAATATTTAATGACTTTAATGTATAATCTTCTTAAATAATAGGAGAAAGATTTTAACCAATTATTGAAATGTGTTTTTGTTTTTTACCTGTTTAAGGTTAGCCACATTGAAGAAAGAAGCCTCACAGATAAAGATGAGAGTATGCCTCCCCAGTATGCAATACTGGTTCCAAATAGAAAGAGGACCAAAGACACAAGTGGAAAACACATACTTTGTGTATTTAGAAAAATGGCATCTAATTCTGGCAAGAAGAAACTATCCCAAATTTGTTTAAACCAGTTATAGCTGTAGAGAAAAAGAAAAGTCAATGATATAATTAAAATATCACGCTTATAGTCAAGATATTATGTATATATACATTTATGATTTAACTTCAGATTGACCCATGCGTGTTAAATATTTATGAAACTATAGTCTTAACAGGTTTATAGAACTCAACCTTCACATTAATTTAGAACAGTTTTATTTTTTTTTAAATCAAAAGTGCAATAGTTCAAACTCAATCAAAGCATCAGTATCTACTGTCCTACATATACATATTTTCAATGAAGGCAAAAATGACATGCCCAGGGTCACACAGCTAGTAAGTGTCAAGTGTTTGGTCTGAGACTGGATTTGAACTTAGGTCCTCCTAACTCCAGGGCTGGTGCTCTATCCACTGCACCACCTAGCTGTCCCTATAAAAATATATTTTAAAAAACAAGTTTATATTAAGAACCCCCGTTTAGGGAGTAGTGGTATCCATGAACAATTCTAAACATTTATCAAAGTAACTGTTTAAATGGCTATGTGGCTAATCTGTATTGTAACTTCATTATTACTGATAAAAGAATGCAGTGAACACTTATCTACGGTAATAAAAGTGAGTAGTGCTGCAGATACCAAAATAGTCAAATAAATGAAAATTATTTATGTGTGTTTAAGTACACATATTTTAATTTTATTTTTAAATTTTTATTTACTTTATTTTTAATTTATGGAATAAAACAAGCATTTCCATAACATAGTATAATAAAAAAATCGCACATGAAACCGCAAACCTATTATGTACAACATTCTATTCTTTTAAATATATAATAAAGTTATCATGTAAATTTTTTTCTGCCTTTCCTCCACCCACCTTAGAGATGGCTACCATTAGATAAAACAAATCTGTTGATTATTTCAAATTTATGTTGTAAATAGCTTGTTTGAACATGGTTGTTTGTGTATTATCTCTTCCGTCAGACTATAGGCTCTCCTTGAGAACAGGGACTATCTTTTGCTGTTTTTTATATTCACAGGGCTTAGTAGAGGCTTAGCAAACGTTTATTGGCTGATTGACTGGACTGAGCTGTCTTTGGAAGCAAAACCTTTAATCAAGTGGATGTCAGATGACCATTTATTACATGGGCTGTAGAAGGCATCTGGCTTTTAGGTGGGAGCTAACTTCTAACATTAGTCCCTTTTTACTTTGAAATACCATGAGTCTATGACAGGTGGCTACACTTTGACTTACCTTGAGTCCACACAGTCTATCTTTCCCACACATCCTATCATTTTCTAATAGAAGACTGGGATGAGCTCATGCTTTTAATTTCTGTACCTACTTTCATTTTCTCCAATAAAAGCTTAAAGAACAATATGCATTGGGTCTAATCATTTCCCCATTTCTGTATCTTACAAATCTCTTGCAATTTGAAAAGGATGACTCTGATCTCTAACGTGGCTCTTATCCAAATTTCTTATCATAACGATTTCCCTTTTATCAGCCATTCTAAAAGTCTTTTATAAATTAACTATGGGGCACTATTCCTGGAGCTGCATCTCTCCCACTCAAATCTTTTTTCTTTACTCAGTTTTACCCTTCTCTGGCTCCTATGCTACTTTCAGCTTAGTTACAATGGTGCCAAGTCCCCTAGGCAACCTAGCAGTGCACAGAAACTCTCCCAAAATCCAAATGACTCCCTAGGAAAGGGGATGTGCAAAGATCTTGGAGATGGAGAGTAAGAACTGGTGTAATAACAACCAGGCTAGATCTGGGCTAGAGGCCCCACAAATAAGGCCATATGGAGTAGGGCACATCAGGAAACTGACTAATATGACAACATTATGTCCTTTTTTAATGCCTTCTATAAATTCAGATCATCATATTAATGTGAGAATAATTAACAGAATATCAATATAATGCCTGTTACTTAAGGAACCTATATTCAGATCAATGAGAAAACTAAAAGCACTGCCCAGGATCAAGGATTGAAGTTTCCGTTTTTCAGCAAAGGACTAATGAAATGTACTTCCTAAAACCCCAGATTTTTTGGTGATCAAGGTAGGATCACAGAGGGGGAAGTGACTGCCCTTCTCTAGGGCTCTGAACTCAAATCTGGCCTCAGACACTTACTAGCTGTGTGACCCTGGGCAAGGCACTTAACCCTGTTTGCCTCAATTTCATCATCTGTCAAATGGGGCTAACAATAGCACTTACCTCCCAGGGTTATTATGAGGATTAAATGAGATAATAATTGTAAAGTGCTTAGCAGCACAGTGCCTGGCACATAGGGAGCACCATGTAAGTGCTGCTGTTCAGTCATTTCAGTTGTATCCAACTCTTTGTGATCCCATTTGGGGTTTTCTTGGCAAAGATATTGGAGAGGTTCACCATTTCTTTATCTGGCTCATTTTACAGATGAGAAAACTGAGGCAAACAAAGTTAAGTGACTTGCCCAGGGACACTTAGGTAATAAGCGTCTGAGGCCAAATTTGAACTCAGGAAGATGAGTCTTCCTGATTCCAGGGTCTGGTAATCTAATCACTGTGCCACCTAGCCGTAGTTATTACTATTATTAAATAAAGCTATACCAGTCAACTACAGAAACAAAGTTTTAAGTTATTCATTATAGCACTCTGTGGTAGCAAAGAACTGGAAATAAAAGTGGGTGCTCATCAACTGATGAATGGTACATGCAAAAGTGATATTTGGATGTAATGGAATATTACTATGCAACAAGAACTGACAAATTCAAGGAACTCAGAGCAACATCAGAGGAAAATACAAGGAAGCAAAATATTAATATATGCAATAACTACAACATCAATACAAAGGTCACTAAGAGGGAGTATAAACAAATAACTCAAAAACCAAAATGTTCCCAGAGAACATATAATGAAATACAAGCCTGTCCTTCAGGGAGAGGCAGGAGATGACAAGGGGAAAACGTTGTATACATTGTTGAAATGGTTATTTTAGGGGCAGCTAGGTGGCGCAGCGGATAGAGCTCTGGCCTTGGAGTCAGGAAGACCTGAGTTCAAATGCGGCCTCAAACACTTGACACTTGCTATCTGTGTGACCATGGACAAGTCGCTTAACCCCCACTGCTTCATCAAAAAGCAAAAAAAAGGAAAGAAATGGTTATTTTAGCAGTTGTTTCTGTTGAACTTATTCTTTGTTAAAATGGAAGGTTCAACTTGGAAGAGGGAAGACAGACAATTTCCAGAACTGACTGAGCAAAGGCATAATGAACTTTATTTTAAAAAATAAAGCTATAATAAACAGAATTTGTCTAATTTCTTATTTTATACTATAAAATATAATTATAAATATTGGAAAATTTACAATTAAAAATCAAAGAAAAAATCTGACATTTTAACCTGAACTTGAATTACTTCAAATCATAATAAAAGTTGTTTTTAGACAATTTGTGAAGAAAGGGAAATAACATGAGGAACTGATAAATGGCATGCTGTTTTAGTTATTAAGAAAAATTAAACCACGTGGAAAAATGTAACTCACCCCAACATGAATTTCATAATTATTACAAAAGGATCAACTTTGTATGGTTTGGCTTCTTTATCCAACATACTTGTATAATCTAAACAATGGCCTGGGAGAAAATTTAAATAGAATTCATTGTAATTAAGCATGAGTTATTTTAAAGAACTGTCAATAAATAAAACAGCTTTAGTTTTAGAGACAGTACCTGTCTATAACTGCCAGAGTAACACTTGATAAAGAACTAAGTGATTTCAGACACAATCTGGTTCATTCAGTCTTTTAGACGAACAAAATAATGATAACAGTTGACATTTGTTAGCACTTTACAATTTACAAACCATGCTTTGATCCTTACAACAATCTAATGAAAAGAATTTAAGTATAACTATCTCCATTTTGCAGATGACTCAACCAAGGACCAGAGAGTTTAAATAATTGTCCGTCCTCATCTAGCTATTAAGGAGCAGACACACAATTTGAATCCAAGTCTTAATGCCAAGTAGGGAGTGATTTTTGTTATCCCACAGCTGCCTCTAAATCAAGGAAGAATAGATTTTAAAAGAGGCAATCTAAGACTAAACAAGATGGCTGGACTAGATGACCTGTAATGTCATCTAGTCTAACCCCCTCATTTCACACATGAGGAAATAGGCCAAGAGAGGCTATTGACTTGCCCAAGGTCATACCTGCAGCCAGCCACAGCAGAGCCACAATTTACACCCACATGCATTGACTTCAAAATCAGTTTTCCTCTCCCCTTTCCCCACCCTTTGCATCATACATCCTCTCAGGAAGAAAGGTAAATGTAGTCAGTTGAATGAAAACATGCAAAGCAAAAATATTTTTTGGGGGGCCAAGTAGTTATGATGGTGATGTTAGGGGATTTACTTCCCAGCCTTTAAATATATTTGTCCATGCATTTTACTAGCACAACTCTGGATCCTAGGATTAAAAGATAAGAGATGAAGTGCTAGAGAGGATCTCAAAGGTCATCTCAGTTTACTCTCCTCATATTACAGATGAAGGGAGCTATGACCAGAAAGTTTAAATAACTTGCCCAAAGTCTCACAGATAGGAAATGGAAGAACCAGAATTCAAACCCTAGTCTTTTCACTACTAATCCAGTATTCTATCATGTTGACTCTCACAGCAGGACTGATGGCTAAAGTATCTGGAGAAAATATCTCGACATTTTTCTAGAATGTGTTAGCCATTCAAAAATTGGCTACTAGAAACTAGAAGTAGGGAAGGAAGAAAAATCATCTGTTACTAATGTGGCTAATTTTTAAAGTTCCAAAATTTGAAATATCATTGAAATAAAATGGACTAATAACTTCTTTACCTTAAATCTCATGACCAGTATCACAAAAAATCTTCATGGATATTCTTACCTACTGAAATAAGGGACTGTAATTGTCCTCCATAAGTAAGGAGGATACTAGACATGATATAGGCAGGAAGAGCTCCACCATGGAATCGAATTACCTAGAAAACAGATAAATCACAAAGTATTTCTAATTATGCAAATTATTGATGAAAATGTACTTCCACGTACAATAAAAATGTTATTCTTCATTATCTTTTTTTTAAAACATGGTCATACAATCACTTTCATCAAAGAAAACTACTATTATGGCTCTAGACACAATAAATGTTGTGAATGTGTTATACTACAAATGTTACCTGAATTTGACCAATAATTTGAGTAAGCCAATCCAGCTGGGCTAGATTGTGTTGCAAACCTGTTTTCAAAGATCTAATCCAAGTCACTTATCTGCTAGTCTATCTTGATTGCTTTTGATATTTCTACTTCCCATATACATGATGCATGTCTTTGACAGATACATGTATTGTTTTTTGCAAGGACATCTTTAGCTTCAAAACACAAATTCCCTGCACCTGAATCCTCTTATGTATTCTTCATTCAGTAAAGTTCTTTAATATGACATGAAAGCTTTTTCTCAAAATAATCATCTCAAGAATTTGTGCTACTGTATTCTCACAAACACTTAACCTAATACTTACAAAATCACCGTCATCATCATCTGAGGCTTCTGAAAATATAATACAATCCTTAATTTTTCCCCAAAACCTGACTTTACATTTGACTTTATACATAATCCTATGCAAAAGCAACATTAAAATTATGTTCTTAATGTTATAAAATTGAAAGTTGTCTACTAGTAAGTACATGATGAAATCAACTTTTTTATAAAATCTCTTTGCTAATAATATTTTATATTCTGAATAACACCCTGGCTCAGAAGCTGAATCAACAAATATGGGATGCCAGAGATGGCTGATCTATTACCAGGCAATACTAAATCTTGGTCAGTACAACTATCAGCTCTTCATCTATCTAGTAACAGACTACCTTTGCTATCCTTGAGAAGGCCATGGCTCTGAAATATTCCCTCCCTGTGGGTACAAAATTAGAGTAGAACTGATCAGAAAAAAATTATTTTGTGCTTCTATGGATCTACATGTGCTCTATGAGCAACATATACACATAGTAACTTTGAAAACTCTAAGGTAACTAAGCTTTTCAACCAGCAACTTTATTTTATGTAAGAATGTGCCAGTATCCATCAATAATATCTAGTCCTTCATTCTGTTTAAACCGAGGAACACCTTATTCACTTATTCCTATTAGGGTAAAACTTGGCAAGCACTCCTAATTAGACCAACATTAACTGCACTGATAAACTGTTCAGATGTCTAGTGAGATGACCAAGGTTCGTCTAAGCAGAACCTCTTCACCACTTCAAAACAGAAAGAAATGCCTTTTAGTAAATTACAGAAAAAGGGGAGAAAGGCAGAAAAGAGATGAGGGTCACACTAATGGGGCCCCCAAGATGTGTATTTCCCGTTCTATGCTCTATGTGCTGGTGGCAGTGGTTACAGGGAGGATACTAGAGGGCTGTTTTTATTAGCAGATAGGGTAGATTCCCACCAAGAATCTTCAAAAGCCACCCTATCTGACGCTCCTCAAGAGTTTGTTTTCAGACGCAATTCAACCAGATTCCTTCATTCTTAGGTAAGATGAAGTTCATGGGTCCACTTGAGCAAAACCTAATTCACAAGGATTATAATCTAGACAAAAAAGTGGTAGCCCTGGATGAAAGACAGGCTCAGAAGCAACGTTCCAGTGTTATCTAGAACTAAAAAGGGTCCCCCAAATTAAGAATGAAATGTTGTCTGACACATAAGTGCCTAATCAATGCTCTAGCTAGTTATTTACCTAACTTTCTCTCAGATGCTCAAAACAGTCAGAAAAGCAAATTAGCTTAAAAGATTCCACTAACTACAATAATGAAAAAGAGAGAAATTCTAACAGAAGTCTTAATGATGGGGAGGGATGGGGGGAACACAACTCAGTGGAGAGTGAAGAAAAAAAAACCACTGTGTAAGATACTCTTAGAATAAGATTCAAGAGAAGAAAATTAAGTAAAAACTACAACCAGAATTCCAAAAAAGAAAAGGGAATGGCCACAAAACCCCAAGTGTCATTGGAAAGCTTACAATTTAAAAAACTAAACAGACTAAATAGAGTGAAATTAGAGCTCTTAAACTCGAAAGAGGAATGCTAGCAATAGAATCCCTGAAAAAATGAATTTAAAAATTTAATAGTACAAGAAATACTAGAAAAAAATTTAGAAAGCAAATTTGAAATACATGAGACAGTTATAATCAACACGAAAAAAGTGTTTAAAAAAATAACTAAGAATCAACGACCTCCCAGAAAAATTCTAATGAAATAAAAAATATGAATATTCTATTTCTAGAAATCAATTGCCCAAAAGTACTAGAACCAAAAGCTATACAAAATTCATAGGATGCCATTAAATAAAAATATCCTGGGTTAAATCACCCAGAACTATGACTGTCAAGCACGCGTGTTCCTAAGTCAACTAGAATAGTGCTTCTTAAACTGTGAGTTGCTGTGAGGGGTCATGAAAAATTTGGCAACAGCAAAAGGTTTCGAATGTGCAGTGACCAAAAATTAATTCAAAACCAAACGCATAATGCCTGTGTTGCATCGTGCAACTTCACTGTAGCCTTGGTTCTGAACACACATATTCACTTTGTACTGCGCATGCTGTCATGCCATGCAATGTCAATGAACACTGCCAGAAACACTCTGGCTTAGATTCGAGACTACTGCGTGTTATGAACTGCAGTGTTTTTACTGTATATACAGAATCATTAAATGAATTCTGGCTTGGGATTAGGACAGGATTTCTAACCATTTCTGAAATGGCCTTAAAAATAGCATAAACATTTTGCCATTTTGTACTACATATTTATGCAAAGCAGTATTCTTAGCATTGACAATTATAAAATCAAAATATCAATCCACTCTGAAAAACAGTAAAGATACTCTATGTCCTGCAGTATCAAATATTCCACCAAGATTTAGTTTTTTATGTAAAAATAAACAAGCACATCAATCTCATTAGTATACTAATTTGCTTTCTTCTTTAATAAATGGTAAAAATTATATGTATACCAAAGATTTGTCTTAAAATAAATTTATGATTTATTATCAGTAAATATTTGATTTGTATACCTATTTTACCTAGATATCCAGGCCGTGTAAAAATTTCTCAGGCAAAAAGGGGTTGCAAGTAGAAAAAGTTTAAGAAATCATAAATTAGAAAACATTGCAAGTGGCTGGGAAGAAATCTAAGGAACTTCAATCAGAAACATAAATAGCAAGGAAAGGAAAGCTTGGAATATCATGCGCCCAAAAAAGTAAGATAAAATGCTTTGAACCCAAGAATAATTTAGTCTACAAGCTGAGCTTAATTAATATAGAGGGGAAAATGGATGTTTAGAAGGGAGGAGAAGAAGAAATGTATTATTTTTTCTTATGGGGGCACTACTACTGGTCAATGAAACATAAAGGTATATATATAGGAGGGTGTATCTTGAACTTCAATCTTATCTAGGATACAAAGAAAATAAGAAAAACGCATAGTGGTAGAAATGTAATAAACAGGAGTGTGGGCTGGGTTATACAGCACGAGAAGTTGTGTTTGAGTGGAAGGGTGGATTCAAGGAAGGAATGTATCAAGCAAAACAAATGATGGTTATAAAAGGCTAATGAAGAAGAAAAATGAGGAAGATTCAGTGAGATTCAGGTCTGGGTGGGAAAAAGAATAGACTAAAATCAGACTGGTCCAATCAATATAAGGTACAATATCTAAAGCTAAGGATGTAAATAGAAAAATGGAGATGGTCTCTGATCTTTTTTTTTTTAAATGAGGCAATCGGGCTTAAATGACTTGCCCAAGGTCACACAGCTACTATGTGTCAAGTGTTTGATCTGAGGCCAGATTTGAACTCAGGTCCTCCTGAATCCAGGGCCGGTGCTCTCTGTACCATGCCACCTAGCTAACCCCCCCCCCTTTTTTGTTTGATGGTCTCTGATCTTAAGAAGCTCACATTTTAAATATGGGAAAAATTACATTTCAGTGGCAAGTCAAATGGAAAAGTCCTATACTACTTAGAGTACAATGGCAAGCATGGCACAGCATCTTCTTCAATGTCATTTAGAATGTTTCTGATGTTGAATCATCTGACAGTGCCAAGGATTTTGGTGTCAAGAACTTTCTTTTCCAAGTCTTAAATGGCTGTGACTGCTAGGGAGACAAGGGATGTGGCTCTTGCCTGTAAGTGGTGGGTGACCAGGAACTGAAAGTGGTGGGTCATGTGGTGCTGTAATGGTGGTTTGATTCTTCTAACATATATTTCCTCCTCTCCTTCCCCCAAGGTGCTATACAACTTCATCTGGGCTATATGTCCTAGAGGGAACAAAGGATGGCTGATTCACTTATTCACAGAACTTGCTTACTTGGGTGTTAGGTTTAGGGACTGGACCGGAAGCATGGCTAATGTTACTGTTCCCACGTCCCTGGCTTATCTGTCTGTTGATAGCAATTACTCACAGTTATTAGGTGGTGATGATGGTAGAGCTATTCTCCACAGAAACTGCTCCTTTGAATGGCTGTAGAGACAGGACAAAAAGCAGGGTAGGATGTCTGGGGGTTCTGCTACAACTAGAGTTCTTAGATTCAGAGTCCTGGGCTGTCTCTATTGGGACTAACAGGAGGTAGATGGGCAGCTAGGTAGATAGAAAGCCGAGCCTGGAGTCAGACGCCTCATCTTCTGAGTTCAAATCAGGCCTCAGGCACTTACCAGCTGTGTGAGCTTGAGCAAGTCACTTAACTCTTTTTACCTCAGTTTTCTCATCTGTAAATTGAGCTGGTGAAGGAAAAGTCAAACCACTCCAGTATCTTTGTCAAGAAAATATCAAATGAGGTCATGAAGAGTTGGACAAAACTGAAATGACTGAACAAAATGGAGGTGGTGGTCAAGGTGGTAGTGGTGGTGTTTTGATGACCCTGACAGATGCTGCTTCCTGTCCTTTCAATATGGTGCTTTATTGTTTCAGTATAGTAGTTAAGACAAATGTAGATGGT